CTTCTCTTTACCCTAATACTTCTTTATTTTAAATATAACTAGGAAATCTGCCTGGAAACTAACTATTTGGACCTAGCTATTATAAGTATACTTTCTTAAAAAAGCCCAGAAAACAAATAATAATATCCGGTTATATTCTATTCTAAAGCTCTTTAAGGAGCCAAAAGCTACTATAAAATCCATAATAAGGAACTTCTTACTATTATTTAAGGACTCCGGAAATAGTAGGCAGAATTAATTAGCTTATCTAATTTTCTAATTATTACTAACTATAAAGCTCTCGAGTATTTCGGTACTAAGAGGCTTTTAAATAAATAATAGATCTAATAAATAGGTTTTCTATTATAGTTCTATTACTAGATTACTTATTAGCTAGGTAAAGATAATATTATTACTAATATCTTATCTCGAAAAAACGAGCTTATACTAACCTAGAAGCAGGCTAAAAAAGCTAAGAAAACTCGGCTAGTTATTTTATTAGATCTAATTCTCGCTTTTACTAAGGCAAAAAATATTACTCTTACTCTTATTAATATAGAAAAAATAAACGAGCTATTAGTTATAGTTAAAGTCCTATAAATTAATTAGACGGACCTAGTCCTTAAGAATAAATAGAAGAAAGCCCGGGAAAATACAGATTTATAGGAAATATTAAATAGCTATTTATTTTATAATAAAAGACTTATTATACTAGACGAATATAATAATCTATAAACTAGGCTCCTATAATAAATCCATAATATAATAACTACTACTTATTCCAATTAAAATAAGATAAAAATCCTAGCTCGGAAACTTTATTAGTAGCCTATTTTCTTAGTAGATATTAACTGCTTTATAGCAAATTATTATAAATATTAAAGGTCTTATAAGCTAAGAAATAAAACGCCAGGCCTATTATATTTCTTACTAGTTTCCCTGAGAATATAAGACGATTTATTTATAAACTTTCATATCCCTGACTTTATAAGCAAGAGATATAATAATATATTTATTATAATTAATTAATTATCTAAATAATATATTAGCCTACTAATAACTAAGAATACTATAGCCAGAACTATTACTAGCCTATTTTACTATTATATCTAGTAATTCCGAGGTTCTTTCCTTACTATTACTAGTAACCGAGAACCCTAGTTTATTTTGGACTTTATAAACGAATTATTAAGATTAACTAGAACTAAGCTAAAGCTCTTAACCGCGAAATATATCTAAACTAATAAATAAACGGAAATTATTAATTAGATTATTAATACTCGACTTTGCTTCTTTATTAATTACTTCTAAAATAACTAGGCAGATTTATTTCTAGTATTTAATATTATAGGTACCGCCTACTTATATAAGTTAACTAGCCTATTTCCCTTAATAATTAATTACAGATATAAATTTAGGCTAAATTTCAATTAGATACTACTAATAATAGAGTTTAAAATACTAAGAAAGAAACTTAATTAAGAAGAGATATAATAGTAGGCTAAGAGAATTAATACTACTATTAATTATACCCGAGAATATATAGTAGTAGCTCAGGAGTATTAAGCTAAGTAAGCTAATAAGAAATAGCAAGAACTAGACTTTAGTTTAGGAAATATAATTTATATAATTAAAAAGATATAGAAAATAAATTATTTATCTAATAAATTAAACTATTTCCTTACTAGACTATTTAAGATTAATAAAATAGTTAGCTATTTATATTAATTAGGCCTTTCTCTATTATATAGGATTTGGCTAATTTTCTATATAAATAGACTTTATAAGGATTTTACTAACTTATTACCTGGCTAAACTAATAAAGAGCCTGGTTTTATTAAAGTTAATAATAAACTTGAATAGGAAATTAAAAAGATCTTCTTTTTTAAGGTATTTTATAGTAAGCTTTACTATAAAATTAAATAGAAGAAATAGGATATAGATAATAAATAGTATCTTATATTAAACTTTAAGAACTTAGTATTTGAATTATATAAATTTTATAAGTAAAACCCTAGTAAAGTAGGACCTCTTATTTGGCTAAATAAATAAATTCGGTATACTAAAGAGAATAAGTTTAATAAAGACTACTCAGATAATAATAAACCTTAATAATAAGGCCTCTATAACTAGAGAAAAAGAAAAAAAACCTAGATATTTTCCGGGTTTTATCTAAATCCTAGTATATTTCTTTTATTTTACTATATTAGTATTTATTTTCTTTTTTAGAAATCTGGGCAAAATATCTTCTTTTATTATATTAGATTATATTTTATTATCTAGGAAAATTATAAAAAAAAGTAAATTCTTAAAGCTAAGCCAAAAGTAAATACTTGCCTATATTAGTTCGAAATATTATTAAAAATCAAGGGAAATCTTCCTAATTACTTTAACCTTTATAATCTTAACTATTTATATTACTATTATTACCTTAATAAAACTATTAATAAAGACAAAATAAATAAGAAATCCCGGTAATATATTATCTATAGCCGGACTAAATAAGGCTACTTGCCAGATCCTGGATAATTTAAGTAATAGTAGTAGTATTTCAAGTTTAGTAGCTATAATTATTATTAATATAATTACTAGCCAAACTATCTTTATAGATAAAAATAGTAATTTTCTTATTCAAGAATAAATTAATATATAAAATACGGCCTGCTTTATTCTTGAGAATATACCTAAAATTATTATAGAAAATATCTTAGTAAAATATTCTAAGAATAATAAAATAAAGGCTTTAGTTACTAGTAATAATAAATCTAATAGTCTAATAAGCGGAATAGATAATACTAATAAAAGCTTCCTTATTAATTATATAGAGCTAAATACCAAGAAAGTTAAAAAGAATAAGGCTAGTATATTCAAGAAATATAAGGTATTAGATAATAGTAAGGATTCCGATAATAAAAAGACTAAGGATAAAAAGACTTCTAGTAATAAATAAGACTCTAACTATATTAAAGGTAGCTAAACTAGTATTAAGACACCTATTATAACTAGGAAACATGCGGTACTAAGTAGTAATTATTATATAAAGTACTAGTCTAAAACCAAGAGCTAGTAAATAATCCTAAAGGCTAAATTAAAGAAGTAATATCCTATAGATATTAATAAATTAGTATGTAATGCTATTTAGGAAGTCGAAAAACCCCTTAGAAGCTCTTATAAAACCAAAATCATATAGCTTAAGGCCCGGGGATTTAATAATAAAGTAGCTCAAATAGCCGGCCTTAATATACAAGTCTTTATAATAGAGAATTAACTTGAGAGCTTATATATTAAGCTCAAGAAGATTTAGAAATTAATTAAGTAGCTCAGAAATAGTATAATTAAGCCAAATATCGCTACCCTAATTAAGAAGAAAGGCAAGTAAGCTACTATATTAAAGCCTGTATTAACGGATAGACTTGATCTATTACCCCTATTTAAAAACCGCCCGATAATAATAGTCCTAATATTAGCCATGGCCTATACGGTACTCCCAGACTATATTATTAATATGGGTATAGGCATAATGCGAGTAACGGATACTAAGGACTGGCCAGAACATACTAGGAACTAGGTTATTCTGGCAGAATTAAGACTATGCTTTAATTATAAGTAAGCTATAGGAATTAAATAGAATGGGGTTAATGGCTATTATTTCCTCTTTTTTCTTTTCTATATTACGGCTAAATAATTCCCTAAATGAGGGTATTTAGATTTCTTTTTAGGGGAGGGGTAATATAACGGCTAGTATAAGGGTATGATCTGTTAAGAACAGGATATTAGAAACAGGCACAAAACGAAGCTAAGCCGGAATTACTTGGGCGGAATAATACTAAAGGTCGAGGCATTTTCCCTACTTTATTCTATAGCTTAGTATTTTCTAATATATGAGATTCTTTAAACTTTGAGCCTTTAACTATTGCATTAATCCCGCTATTATATTTAGTAGAGTAATAAGCCTAAATTTAGGTACCTAATTCTTGGAGCAAAGAATTGCTTATATTATATAAATATTTAGTTATAATTTAGGTACTATTCGATTTTTCAATTATAAAAGCTCGTATATTAATTGGATTCGCTATTATGTTATAAACCTTATACCTTCTTTTAATTAGCTAGTTATTTCTTGCCTAGTATACGAAAAAATTTATCTAATTAATTAATTAATTTATAAATATTTATAAATAGTATAAATAGAATTTAATTAACGTAATACTTATATAATTTAATTAGATTAGAATAATTAATTATGATTATTCATAAATACCTTAATTAATATACACGTGACTATAGCACGTGATAGTCTAGCCTAATTAAGTAAGGTTCTTGCTCTAGTACTGCCTTAGTGAGCTTTTCTCTCTAGAAGCAAGGTAGCACTAGAGCCTGATCCTTACCTAATTAGGCTAGCCTGTCACGTGCTACGGTCACGTGTACATTAATCAAGTTATTCATGAATATTCATAATTAGCTTAATTAATTCGTGAATAGAATATAATTAATGAGAAAATTTCATGAATAGATTAGATTAATAGCCATTAATCTAATCTAATCTATTCATTTCTCACACTGTTCTTGCCTTACTAATAAACGCTATCTTGCCTTTATATCTTATACCTTTGGTTTTGCTTCATTAATTCGATCTCAAAGGGTTTCGTATGCAATTCCATACTCTCTCGCGCATTTCCCAATGGATTTAGTCTTCTCGTAATCGAGATATCGTTATGAGCCTTCTGTAATCATATACTCTCTAAAAGCTCATTGGAATTATCCACGAATTCGGTATAGTGATTTTTCTTTACAGACATATTGAGAGGCTAAAAAAGCTTCAGAAAACAGTTGATTTAATAGTAAAATATTATGTGGATGTTGAATTATGATTTTTGGAAAGTAGCGATTTTGGGCGGTTGGGTGGTCTGGGCCGTTGGCCAGTGAAGCCTTCTAGCGAAGGGGAAGAACGCGAAATTTTCAACAAAGTATACAAAAACAGGGCCTCCCGATCGAAATCAGCTCTACAATACATATCAGAGATGGGATTGAAGTGCAAAGAGAGTACTTTTGAGAAGCTTATGTATAAGTTCCGTTCGCATCATCTCCCTGGAGCAGAGAAGCCAGAGCTGAATGAGGGCTGCATGAAAATGAGACGCGAGCTAGCCACACTTCTCCTAGGAATGGACCTCAAAAACGTCGTGTTTATTGACGAGGCTAATGCGCGCTCTCAATACGGAAAGCAGAGCTATTGGTACACTCCAGAAGAGTATTTCCATACAGACGTAAAAAGCGGTTCGACCAAACAAGCATACCAGAAAGCGGAGTTCGTCAGAGCCATCAAGTGGGGAGAGAGGCCTGGCCCATACCGCTCGTTCTTACCCGAAACAGACGCAGAAAAGGAGGAAGCAAAACTCTCAATTAAGAAGCTTCAAGACGAAGAACTGCCTCGATTACGTACAGAATTCGAAGCCCAAGAAGCAGTCAAAGACAAAGCTGCAGCAGTGAAGGGTCAGAAGCGCCGGGGAAAGCGGCCCTCCTTGGATGTCTACATTAGGAAACACCAGACAAAAAGGGGAGACCGATTACAAGGTAGTGGAATTGACTGGTTTCGCATTACAGACAAGTATATCCAGCCTTTGTTAGATCCTTGGATCAAGGAATTACAGGCAAAAGACGACCTAAGGCGCCAGACGAGACAGCACAATGGCGGGGTGAAGTGTGTCCTTGACAACGCTTCTGCGCACCGCTCTAAGTTTACCAACCAAATACTCCGCTTACTTGATATCGCACGTATCGTCTGGTCACCTCAATTGCCTGATTTGAATGCAATTGAGCATGCATGGGATTACGTACGGAAGCGGGTACAAGAGAGGGTCCCTTTCCCTGTAACAGAGGAGGTAATCGCGGCATGGGAGGAAGAATGGCAAAGGATTCTGCAAGAGGAAATTAATAAATGGATCGAATGCTTGGAGGGGACGCTTAAGAAGGTTCTTGGGTATAATGGGGATAATTTCTTCCACGGTTAAATTATATTTTTAATTTAAATCAATAGTTCCGCGATAATTATCCCCTTCTTCTTGAGGCCATTAACGTAGCTCGCACGATATTACTATACCAGATAACCCTACGTTCTAAGCCCTTTGCGTATCCAATATACCTAAATCAGCCCTTCTTATCCATCCTGCAAATAGCCTTTCAATTATAATTGCAACGCCTTACTCATTAATTCGATCAGACATACGGTCTTTAAATGCGACGATGTCACTGATATTAGGAACGCAATTATAATCGGGGAAATTAAGAGAACAGTCTATAAAAGTTCATTAGCTTGAAGATCGAGTATACAGGAGTATACAGACACCAAAATCGTACGGATTGGACCATTAGAAGTAGAGTTATTAATGCGGTAAGTTTGTAGCTTTTGATGGTTTTGAAGAAAATTGGTAGTTGAGAGTCGCTTAGAAGAATCCACTGGCCAACCGCCCATACCCCCCAACCGCCCACCCCCAAAAAATCGATTTTTAATTATACCTTTATTATAATTACAAATTCTATTATATATTAATACTTTATAGTATTCTCGATATTCTAATAACGATATATGTATTTTAAACTAGTAATGCGGCTAGAATCGCTTATAAGGTAGTGATTTTATTATTCTTGCCTTGCTATTAAATTTCTTACTTGAGCCTTACTAGAAATAAAACACCAAAATTTTGTGATTTTTTTAAAGTACTAGAAAAATTCTAAAAACTTCCTAAATTATTATATTAAGGTCGCTAATTACAAATATTTATTCAAAATTTCGGTTTTATATTATTATTATAATAAAAAGAAGTAAGTAATTAGAGAATTTGAGTAATTAGTATTATGCTCTGCCGCTTTACTAGTAAATTTAGCGTCACGTGACTGCGATAACGCATACAGCTATACTAGTATTAGAATACTAAAGCTCCCGTATTTAAAAGCTTCTCTTCTTAGTTTAGAATTCTTAATAAAAGCCATTTTACCTTACTTTTTGTCACAGTTCAGGTTTCGACGTTCTGGTCACCTGATAGCTAGCATGGAAATGCGCATGGAGATATTTAGGACGCTAAGCCCCTTACGGGCTTAGCGCATTGCGGGTGTACTTTACTCTCGCAGCCTCCTGTATTCTAGCCTTCTCTCCTTTAGCTTTGAATCGTCTTCGTGAGGGACCTTCTACCTTGCTTTCCAAGCCTTGAATGCCGTACCCGTAATACTCTTTAAGCCTAGAAACCCGATCTTGTAATATTATTCTAAACTTCTTCTTATTTCTATAAAGGAAGTAAAATTACTTTTATATTCTTTTTATATATAAGTGCAATTTTATAGCAATTTATTTAATAATAGCGTTATTAATATATATAGCTATAAAACTATATATATATATATATACTAGAGAAATTAAGGGCTTATTAGATTTTCTTTTATTTTAAAATTACGATTTTTCCTTCTTTTTTTTAATACTATAAATTAATCTTTATAAATTCAGATTATTACTATAATTATCGAGCTATAAATAAAGGTTTGATATTAAGCTAAAATTATTTAATAATAAGGCAATAAACTTATTCTTTTATAAACTTGCTCTTTTATAAAGCCGAAATTATTTCTTTTAGATCCCGAAAAATTTAATAACCAGATTTATAAGTTTAATATCTGGCTTCCTTTAATTAAGGCCAAGTTATAAGTTAATTATAAAGCTATTAATAATACTATTATTTAATTCTATTATATTTACCTTAATCTCGAATCTTATATTTAAGCTATAGTTTTTTCCTAGCTTTTCTCAGCAAAAAATAATTAAATCTAGTTCTATATCTCGATTCTTAATTAATTCTCTTATATTTACTCGAATTCAAATAAAGTATAAAAGGCAAAAAACAAGCTATATTTTTTTTTAGTAAAATACTAATTCGCTTTATACTTTTATTACTAAATTTAAGTATATATTTTATAAGGCATATAAATAAAACTAGAATAATATAAATAAAATTATTGCTTTTTACTAAAAACTTAATCTTATAATTAAAAATAGGCTAATATAATAGCTAAATCTTTCCCGAACTTATATTAAATTTATTAAAATAATATAATAGCTGGCTAAATGCTTTAATATATATAAATAATATTATAAATATATTTATTATTAATATTATTAATATAATTACTAAATCTTTATAATTCTTCTTTTTCTTCTTTATAAATTATTATAATTATTATAATATATAATACTAGTAAAAGTTAGACTAAATTAAACTAGATATATAAAGTCGAAATTATATATTATAACTTTGCTTAGCTAATATATAGGCCCATATAAAGCTTATAATTATTTAAATCCGAGATTCTTTCGAGATTCTTTTCTTTTCTTTAACTTTAAATTATTGAAATAAAAATAGTTTAATTATATTTTCTAGGCTCTAGGTCTTATACTTGTAATATAATTTAAAGCTTATTTATTTTTTAATTTTATAAAGAATTTAAATAATATTTATATAATTGGTTTTTAATAAATATAAATATAATATATTATAGTAATTTCTATATTAGTTAACTAATATTAGAATAAAAGAAAGCCCTAGAATAACCAGGCAAGAAAGCTTTAAACTAGCTAGGCAAGTAAATAGACTAGTAATTTTATTATTAAAAAAAATATAAGAAAGCAAGTTCTGAAATAACTAGATAAGTTAGAAAAAGCTATAAAATGAGATTCTACTAATATATTACTAGAAAGTAAACCAGAGCCTTTTATTAAGTTTACTAAAGAATTCAAGTATTTAATTAATATTTATAATAAAAGAAATACTTTCTTTTAAGAAATAGAAAAAGAAGAGAAATCTGCTTTATTAAAAGTAAAGTTTTAAAAGTTATTTCGGAATTTAGAAGCTTTATATAAAGAGATTATTAAGCTAATTCTAAAAAACTATAATGTTTTTATTTATAATAAGAATTATTATAATTAGCTAAAAGAAACTAAATAGGCTTTATAAAAGAATAAAGCTATTCTTAAAAAGCTTATTATATAGCCTATAGAAATAACCGGTTCTTTTACTTTAGAAAATAAATATTTAGTTAAATTTCCTAATTTCCTTATTTTTAAAAATATAACTAAAAATAATATTATTTTTAATAACTAATTAATTTAAATTAAAAATAAGCTTTATAATAACTTTAATATTTACTAGACTAAAAATCTCAAGATTATTTATATTTTTGGCTATATAAAAAGTTATATTCTTATACTAATTTCCTTTTATCTAAACTAGAATAATTAATATATATATATATATATATAATTATTAAAGAACTATATATTTATTTAAAGAAGCTATATAATAACCCGAATAAAGAGTATAATATTTAGTAAAAATTTAAGAAACTAATAATAATAAAAAGCTAGATCTTTTAAAGGTTTTTATACTTTAGTTTTTAAATATATAATAAATAAAAATCTTAATTTATAAAATCTTAAAAATAACCTAAATAATAAGCTTATTTAAAAGCTTTAAAAAACTATAGCTATATATTATAATAATCTGGCTATTTATATTATAAAGTTTATATAATATTATATTATAAATAATTAGTAAATTCGAGCTTATTATAAATAAAAAAACCAGGCATTTAAAAAGGCTAATAATAATATAAATAAGCCAAGTTTAGAAAATGCCCTTTATATAAAGCCTGCTCTTAAAACTTTAGTAATAAATAAGCTTATTATTTCGAAACTAGAATCTTTTGATTTTAAATACTATAATTATAATAAATTTAATTATTATAATTATTATAATATATAATACTAATAGAAGTTAAACTAGAACTAGATTATATAAAGTCGAAGTCTGGAAATACAAGTCGAGATTACGTAATACGACTTTACTTAGCTAGTATATGGGCCTATATATAGTTTGTAATTATTTAGATTCGAGGCTCTTTAAAAATTATTTTCTCTTTTTTAGCTTTAAATTATTAAAATAGAAATAGTTTAATTATATCCTTTAAGTTCTAAATCTTATATTTATAATATAATTTAAAGCTTACTTACTTTTTAATTTTATAAAGAATTTAAATAATATTTATTTAATTAGTTTTTAATAAATGCAAATAAAATATATTATAGCTATTTTTATACTAGTTAACTAATATTAAAATAAAAGAAAGCCTTAAAATGACTAGGCAAGCAAATAAGCTAGTAATTTTATTATTAAAGAAGATCTATAAGAAAGTAAGTTTCGAAATAATTAGGCAAGTTAAAAAAGAAGCTATAATATAAGATATTATTAGTATATTACTAGAGAATAAACTAGAGCCTTTTATTAAGTCTACTAAGAAATTCAAGTATTTTATTAATATTTATAATAAAAGAAAGACTTTTTTTAGAAAATAAAGAAAGAAAAGAAACCTGCCTTATTAAAAATAAAGTTCCAAGAATTATTTTAGAATTTAAAAGCTTTATATAAAGAGATTATTAAGCTAATTCTAAAAACATGTAATATTTTTGCCTATAGCAAGAATTATTATAATTAGCTAAAAGAAATCAAATAAGCCTTATAAAAGAATAAAGCTATTATTAAAAAACTTATTATATAATTTACAAGCTTACTTATATTTAGTTCTTTTATTCTAGAAAATAAATACCTAATTAAATTTTCTAATTCTCCGATTTTTAAAAATATAATTAAAAATAATATTTCTTTTAATAACTAATTAGTTTAAATTAAGAATAAACTTTATAATAACTCTAATATTTATTAAATAAAGAACCTTAAGATTATTTATATTTCCGGCCATATAAGTAGTTATATTTTTATATTAATCTTCTTTTACTTAAACTAGAATAATTAATATATATATAAGATTATTAACGAATTATTTATTTATTTAAAGAAGCTATATAGCAACTCGAATAAGAAATATAATACTCGATAAGTATTTAAGAAGTTAATAATAAAAAAGGACTAGATCTTTTAAAAGTTCTATATTTTATTTCTCAGATATATAA